GACTGGAATGGCCATTTCTGGTCTATTGGCCATCGTCAGCCTTTCGGGCAATATTATCTGCCTATAGTACTAGCTGATACAGCAACTGTCAGGACCCACAAAAGGATAGCCAACGCAAAAGGCGGAGCAGGAAAAGTGATTTCCGTTAGCGGTCGGTGAATGCTAATCAACTAGTGTCAATATCTGCCGACCTAAACGGGCAAAATAACGAGCTCGAGGTTCAGTAGTTAGGGCGTTAGACTTTGATCAAAAATGTCGCGAGTTTGAGCTTGGTGTGATGCACCAATTAGAGCTGTGTATGACTGGCTGAGGACTGCTAATAAGCCAGAAATGGTCATTCTAGTCTCCTTTGTCCTTGCCGACGATATTATCTGTCTATACTACTAGCCGTTACAGCTGCTGTCAGGGCTCGAGGAATGAGGCCAAAGGCGAAAGGCAGAGTGGGACAATTGAGTTCCGTTAGCGGTCGGTGAATATTCATCAACTAGTGTCAATATCTCCCAGCCTTAATCGGCAAGGCAACGAGCTCGTGGCTCAATGGTTAGAGCATTGAACTTCCGATCAATTGGTGCACCACTTGGGGCTGAATATTACTGACTTGCGAAGGCTAATAAGTCAGAAATGGCCATTCCAGTCTCCCTTGTTTTTGCCAGCAATATAATCTATTTAAATAATGATCAAATTGATGTGACGTCCCCGCTGGACATCGAATGACGCCAACCCGACGAGTAGTGTTCACAAAACCCAACGCATTTGTCAAAGTTTTTTTTAATTTTTTGAAGTTCTAGAAGTCTTTGCCTCATTTGTTCTCTGCGAGACGGAAAAAGAAAGGAAAAACCATAGAATTGGTAACGCCTGGATTATTAGTGGGAAAACGTAGTGTACGTAGGGTTTTGCGTGGATATTCTCAAATTCTGCAATTAACAGGAACCCAAAGAGATCAACCCTATTCGCTTCTCAGAAGCTTCGGGAAATACCACTTCTGGTAAAACACAATGTGGTGGTGGTGATGGTGGTGGTGGTGGTGATGGTGGTGGTGGTGGTGATGGTGATGGTGGTGGTGGTGGTGGTGGTGGTGGTGGT